CCCTGGGTGTTGAAGCAGGGGCTGGACATTGGCATTCTGGGAGGTGTGCTCAGGGACACCCGAGTACAGTCAATGGACGGGCAGTATATGGATGGAGCTTTAGGTGCCACCTCAAGGGTGGACTGCCATGTCGGTGGCACCAGTGCAGAGCACAAAGCTGGTGCTGGGCTGTGGAATGATGCCACTGGTATTGCTCTCCCTCCTTGCTCACTTACAATACTAAAGGGCTTTTTTAGGAGTTGGAGCACCCATAGACCAGTGTCACAACAGCAACCCTGATGAGCCCCTTGGCCTTCAGCTGGCAGGGTCTTAAGAGCAACCAAGTTAATTATTAACCACATTTGACCCAAATGGACTCTTCAGAAGGGTCAAACCAGGCCCCCGGGTTCCTGGTATTGAAGCACCCATTACCATGGCAACTGTAATTGGGACTGACATTCCTAGTGTATTTTGTAGTCTGTGCCATGAAACATCCAAACGAAGGTTCAAAGATTCCACTTCTTCCAAAATCAGCATCACATCCACCCTCACAACTTTAGGGTTTAGTTTAGGGTGTTGTAATTAATACACAATTACCTTAATGATAAAGCAAGAAGCTTTTAACCATTTGGGTGTGTGCTGCACTTAGGGCAGTGCTGACCAGAGGGTTTGTCCCAGCTGTGGCCTTCATTTGCCCTTCATGGCTGATAGAAAGCTTACATGACCCAAAATTGAAGGTGTCCCCTGCTCCTAACCCAGCCCAACCACCCTCTAAGAGGTTCTGCACCACTGCTGTGGGCAGTGTAGCACACAGGAATCCCAACCAACTCCAATTGGGAAACACCAACAGGAACATCTGGGATTTCTTGCATACGCTGGGACTTGTCAAGGGAATCCCTCACACAGAAATGCACAAACACTGTTTATTTAGTTCTTTACTGCAGCCAGATACAGGTTTACAAGTCACCATTTTAAGGCCTTTATAACCAGTTATGTGCATGCACAGCTTGCTGCCCAGGCCACATCACGCAATCCACCCCTTCAGCATCAGCTTCCCCACACACCCCCTCCACACATGGGAGTTGAATGCAGTCTGTCCCAAGCCCTCAGTGGATGGGGGTGCTGGTCTGCAGGTCCTAGCCCACAGAGAGGAGTTGTTTCCAGAAGCCACTCAGCTAGCTCAAGCTCATTTCAAATCTCAACTATTAAAGAGAACCATGTAACAACACAACACAGCATCACAATTACCTCCTAAAGCCATGCTTCACTCTCAAACTTCTTCACTTTAGAACTGGAAATGAAGACAGAAAATGCATGTGAAGCGTTTGTTCAGGTGTTCCCCCTTCTCCCCTTGCCATGCACCACCCAGGCCATGCAGAGCATGGGGCTTGTTTCCTGCATGGTTTATCTCCTCTGTCAATGCCCAAGGGCTCAGAGAAGCAGTAGGAATATGCAGGCTGCAGGCTCGAGGCCCGGCTTGCTCTCCAACGGCGTGGAACGGGACCATACGTCACGGGCCCGGGGGCCTACGCTCCCATGCGCCACACGGACAGAGCCTGGAGAGAGCGACTTCTCCGGATGCCCACGTTGGGTTGAAGCTCACCCACACCTTCAGCCCCAGCCACTGCCCTGCCCTGCCCTGCTCCCCAGGCACACACCACAGCAGGTACTCACGTCCGGAGCCATCTAGAGCAGGATGGGGCAGCATCAGCAGCACCTGAGGGAAGAGGATAAGATGGTGAGGAGCAGCTCAGGCAGTGCAGCCCAGGGAGTACCCCGATAGCCAATTACATCATAGAATAGCCTGGTTAGGGTTGGAAAGGCCCTGAAGATCATCTAGTTCCAACCCATTGGTTGAATCCCACTGAATCTGGAGACTCAGGGCTACAAGGATTCTTAAACTGGTATTTAATTGCCTATAGAGGCTACAGGTAAGGCTGCACCAATAGAGCCAGATGTCTTCTCTCAAACATGGACTCAAATAAGGACTCTTCTTCAGGGACTGTTACTGACAGGACAGGGGTGATGGGTTCAGGCTTAAACAGGGGATGTTCAGGTTGGAGACAAGGGAATTCTTCCCTGTGAGGGCCTGAGGGGCTGGCACAGGGTGCCCAGAGAGGCTGCAGCTTGCCCCATCCTCGACAGTGCTCAAGGCCAGGTTGGACAGATCACCTTCCAACCCACTCTACAAAGTCAGCATCAGAAATCATCTACTTGAAACCAATCCAATTGCTTCCAGAATACCCTCAGACAGGTCCAGCACATTTCGAATCTCAACTATTAACAAGAACCATGGAACACAACACAGCATCACAATTACCTCCTAAAGCCCTGCTTCACTCTCAAACTTCTTTGCTTTAGAACTGGAAATGAAGACAGAAAATGCATGTGAAGTGTTTGTTCACGTGTTCCCCCTTCTCCCCCTGCCATGCACCACCCAGGCCATGCAGAGCATGGGGCTTGTTTCCTGCATGGTTTATCTCCTCTGTCAATGCCCAAGGGCTCAGAGAAGCAGTAGGAATATGCAGGCTGCAGGCTCGAGGCCCGGCTTGCTCTCCAACGGCGTGGAACGGGACCATACGTCACGGGCCCGGGGGCCTACGCTCCCATGCGCCACACGGACAGAGCCTGGAGAGAGCGACTTCTCCGGATGCCCACGTTGGGTTGAAGCTCACCCACACCTTCAGCCCCAGCCACTGCCCTGCCCTGCTCCCCAGGCACACACCACAGCAGGTACTCACGTCCGGAGCCATCTAGAGCAGGATGGGGCAGCATCAGCAGCACCTGAGGGAAGAGGATAAGATGGTGAGGAGCAGCTCAGGCAGTGCAGCCCAGGGAGTACCCCGATAGCCAATTACATCATAGAATAGCCTGGTTAGGGTTGGAAAGGCCCTGAAGATCATCTAGTTCCAACCCATTGGTTGAATCCCACTGAATCTGGAGATTCAGTGCTACAAGGATTCTTAAACTGGCATTCCATTGCCTATAGAGGCTACAAGATAAGGAAGACTGCACCAACAGAACCAGATGCCTTCTCTTAAACATGGATTCAAAACCAGACCCTTTATCAGGGACTGTAGGAACAGAACAAGGGGGAATGGGTTCAAACTTAAAACAGCGGAAGTTCTTCCCTTTGAGGGTGGCGAGGCCCTAGAATGGGTTGCCCAAGGAGGTTCTGAATGCCCCATCCCCGACAGTGCTCAAGGCCAGGTTGGACAGGGTTTAAGATCACCTTCCAACCCACCCTACAAAGTCAGCATCAGAAATCACCTAATTGAAGCCAGTCCAGTTGTTTCCAGAAGCCACTCAGCTAGCTCAAGCTCATTTCAAATCTCGACTATAAAAGAGAACCATGTAACAACGCAACAAAATCACTATTACCTCCTAAAGCCCTGCTTCACTCTCAGACTTCTTTGCTTTAGAACTGGAAATGAAGACAGAAAATGCATGTGAAGTGTTTGTTCACGTGTTCCCCCTTCTCCCCCTGCCATGCACCACCCAGGCCATGCAGAGCATGGGGCTTGTTTCCTGCATGGTTTATCTCCTCTGTCAATGCCCAAGGGCTCAGAGAAGCAGTAGGAATATGCAGGCTGCAGGCTCGAGGCCCGGCTTGCTCTCCAACGGCGTGGAACGGGACCATACGTCACGGGCCCGGGGGCCTACGCTCCCATGCGCCACACGGACAGAGCCTGGAGAGAGCGACTTCTCCGGATGCCCACGTTGGGTTGAAGCTCCCACACCTTCAGCCGAAGGCACTGGAATAGGTTGCCCAGGGAGGCTGTGAATGCTCCATCCCTGGCAGTGCTCAAGGCCAGGTTGGACAAGGCCTTGGGTGCTATGATTTACTGTGAGGTGATCCTGCCCATGGCAGGGGGGGTCGGAACTGGATGATCTTAAGATCCTTTCCAACCCTAACTATTTTATGAGTCTATGAAACTTACTATTAATTAACTCCTAGTGATTAAGCCTAAGAAACAGGCTAAGATGAACGTCTCAAGGTCGTAAATTAAACCAACCAAGAACATGAAGTTAACGGGAAACACTAACCACATATCCCAGTGTCCTTAATAAAAGGACCTCTACAAAGGGATTAAATGAATAGGTTGGTTTCTCCCCCAGACCACTCGCAAAGCTCTTAACGCCTGTGCCGCGGCTTTACCCCTCCGAATGCCCAAATGCAACAAGTAACGACAACCGCGATGGCCTTTCATGGAGTATAACGAAAACACATGAGCTGGAAGCTGCTGCTCGGAGGCATCAGCAGGGCCTGGCGCGCACGGAAGGCCTCTCACTAGCAGGCACACAGCGCCGCTGTGTTTCTAGAGGCAGCCGCAGCCAGCGGGGAGTTTTCCGGTCATAGGAACCCCACAGCACATGGAAAGGGAAGGAGCAAAGCGGTTAAAGCAAGGGGATTAAGGCAGACCGGCCGGGAACAGGCCCGCCCCACTCACCAGCGCCGCTCTCCGCCGAAAAAGGCCGAGCGGGGCCGCGCTGAGGTATTTATAGGGCGCCAGGGGCGGGGCCAAACCGCGCATGCGCGCAAGGTATGGTGGGGCGGGGCGTACATAGATGTTGGTGCATGCGCGGTGAGGAGGCGGCGCCATGGCCGGGCTCCCGCTGGGTCGGCTCCTCTTTCCCTATCGAACACAAAGGGGAAAGTGGTTTATAAAAGACTCCTAAAATACTTTTATTCCATGATTAAAATCTGTTGAGGAGGAGGAGGCCGATGACAATGCAGTGATTTCGATCGATAGGCGTGCGGTACAGGGGGACCTGTGAGGGGAAGAGAGCATCTCCTGTGGTGCAACGGCAGCCTGAGGGGCAAAGGGGAGTGATTCCTCCATCCTCCCTCATAGATGGGTTAGGTTTTGTACGTGATGCTTGTGAAACTTCTCTGTTCCATCCATATGGTGAAATGATGACGTTTCTGAAGGGATGAAAAGGAGCAAAGGCAAATTTCACCCTCATTTGGGTGAAAACACACTAAAACCACATGAAAAAGCACCGATTCCTCTCACAGCTTCCCCACAATAAAACGTTTTTAGAAGGCAACAATCAGTTCCTGGTTCTGGAATCTGTTAACCCAGCTTGGATAGCTCAAGACAATGTGTTAACATCACGGCAGGGGAGGGAATGGTTTATACATTTAAATCGGGGGGGGGGGGGGTGTCTTGTTTTTTGTACAAAAAGATGCAGCATATGTTAGTCTCTATACAATTCCCTTCCAGGACAACGAACCGTTGGTCAGTAGTGATTGAGGACATGAAGGACACGACGGAGATGCAAGGAAAACCATTAACATTCCCAGTCCCATGCCAGGTCAGCATCTGTGCAGGAATCTCTGTACACAGCTAATATACACATGTGCTTCCTATAGCACATCCACTTGCCATTCCTCAGCTTTCTAACACTAGAGCTGCCTTTTCCCCCTTCCTCTTGGTCAGGAGGGGGAAGTGAAGGGACTGCATTCCCAAAAGGAGGACGTCTGGCTGAGAAGTGGGCCTGGGGAATGAACCCCGTGGTTCACCCTGGCAGGGATGCTGGCCCTGGAGCAGAGGGGTATTGCTGAGCCACACGAGGTATAGCGTTCAGTTCCAGCCTGATGGCACGTGAGACAGTTTTGTTCCAGTGAAATGCTACGTTCAGACAGGACTCCCCTTGCCCTGGCCGAAAGCCCTTTTCTGGATAAGGATTTCAAGGCAAATAGTGGAAGAGCCAAGGTTCCACCCTCGCTGTATTGCCTTGGAGAGGGATGCAGAGAACTTCCAGGTCCTCTTCAGGTCTCTTGCTCCCTTCTTGGAAGGTTATGGTCGATGGTACCTGAAAGCCAAGTGAAAAATCATCACATCCCAGCCTGGTTTGGGTTGGAAGGGACCTTAAAGCTCATCCAGCTCAAATCCCTGCCATGGGCAGGGACACCTTCCACTAGAGCAGCTTGCTTCAACCTGGCTTTGAACACTGTCAGGGATGGGGCAGCCACAGCTTTTCTGTTCAGCCCATTCCAGTGTCCCAGGCACCCTCTTCTGCCTAAGAGCTCATCTCCATCTCCCCTCTGGCAGGTTAAAGCCATTCCCCTTCTCTTGTGTCTACAAGGCCCTTGTCCAAAGCCCCTCTCCAGGTTTCTTGTAATACCTTTAGGTATTGCAAGGCTACTACAAGGTCTCCCTTAAGAATCCAAGTGTCATCCTTGGAACTGAGGTTAAATGGTTACTGAGGCACTGCAGATGGACAAAGAGAGTCAACTTATTTATGACTAAACTCCCAGCCCTCACTGAAGCCATTACGATCACAGCCCACCCAAGGAGACAGAAGGTAAGTGAGGAAGGTGCTCTCTCTCACCTTGTGAACTGCTTGCTGTCCTCATGGACTTCCATTTCACAGCTCTTAAACTCATTCAGCTCCTTCCGGATGGCAGCCTACGAAAGAGGGAGAGATCCTTTTTATCTCCTGCTAACCCATACAACTATTACCTTCTCTCCATCTCAAGTGAGCTCACACATGGCAGGACAGTGCTGTACCTCCAACACCCCTGCTTGGGGCTGATCACCTTCCAGTGGTATGCACTTTGGAGCAGTTTTGGTAACACAGGGCTGAGCCTCACACCTCCTTTGGTAAAAGAAGGAGCTCAGCCTGCAGCAGGTACCCCAGCACTTGCAGTCCATTCACACCAGGCTGAGCTTCTGAGCCCAACCTCCTCCACACCAATGGGTGCTCAGTCCCCACAAGTGGCCAGGGAAGACAAGAACAGATGATTTCCCTGCCAGCTTCATGCCTAGGCCTGCAAGGAACAGCACTCCTCTGACCAAGATCTGCACCTTGCACCCTCTCATATCCCTGGGAAGCTGAGGCAGAGGCCATGCTGCACGTGGACCATGCCCATGTGGGCTCCACAGCACCATGGATGGGCCATGAAGCAGGGCTGGGTACAGCACACATGGGTGAAGGGATACTGGTGATGCTTGGTGTGGATGAAGAGGGGAAGCAAAAGGAGGAGAGCAAATCTCCTTGGCTGCTATTCTTTTGCATGGAACACCCAGATCTAACTCCCCTCCTCACACCTAGGGACATCAGACTCCTGTTACCTTGTCGGCTGGTGTTAGCTTTGTCCATGGCTTGTCTGCTCGCCGGTCATAGTCTTGTGCATCTGTTACTTCCACATATTCATTAAACCTCAGGATCTTCCTGGCCTGCAGCTCTGCCACTGTAGGCCTTTGGCTAAGCTGAACACCAGCAAAAGCAAAGAACAAAGAAAGTGAGTTTGTGCCTTGTCCACAAAGCAGTTCAGGACTCAGCATTCCCAGCAAAACTAAACCCAGTTCCCTCCCTGGGCCCAAAGCAGAGCACTGCTAGGTCCTGCTCGCAGCCTGCAAGGGAACAAACAAACCCTCCTACAGGTGTCATCTCGCTTGGATCATAAGGGCAGAACCAAGGCCACATTGCTAAGGAGAAAGATGACACCAGGGGCTTTGGGAACAGGGTAGGAGCTCTGTATGCCACCCATTCCCCACTTCAGCAATGGCAACACTCACATTTCCCACCTACGAGCCACAGAGAACAGCCCCAAGTAACTTGGATGCTAAAAGCAGCTCTTGCTCTGCTCAGCTTCTCCCACTGTGCTGTTACTTTATAGAAATGGATTTTGAGGAAGCTGGTGTGAGTCTTGGCCACTGAAGTCCTGTGTTAGAACAGCCAGGACCCCAGCAAACCCTTCCAGTGCCAGGTACCCAGTTTAGTTCTCATCTCACTTGTCAGATCAACCCCTGACAACCGCGGCTGCTGTGCCAATGGCTCACCATTGGTGACAGCTCCACATTGCAAAGCCACTGCAGTCTGAGGGCACTGGGGACACTTACACAAGAGCCCCGTGACTTCCCCCCCAGCAAGGAACCTACGCCATGCTCATGGCCACCACCAGCTCCGCCAGCTCTACCAGATGGTGCTCACAGCACGGGGGCCAGCAGTACCTTTCTGGTGAGCCTGCGCTTGATCTCCCGCTTCTCAGCCTGACGGTCAGCTTCATTCTTCGCTGCCAAGGAGAAAAACATAAACGATACATCTTCCCTGTAAGCATCAGAGGCTTTGAAAAGCACTTTCTGGACTTGAAACAAGGGGAGCGTTGAGCTACATTGGATTAGCTCCATGCCCGAAAGCTCGCTCTGGTGCATCTGTGCTCAGTACAGGTAGAGAGCAGAGCCCAGCTCAGGATCCCCTGACTGACAGTGGCAATATGGGTCCTTCCACATCAGAACTGAGTCATTCTCTCCAGCCCTATGTTAATGGCTGTATTGTCAAAATACAGCAAAGCTACACTGCAGACTGCTCCCCCTAAAGCTACTCCACTAATAGTTGAAAGAGAATAACAGCACAGATAAATATTGTAAATGGAAACTTCCTGAACTGACATTTCCCTTTCCTCCAGATGTTTATTTAAAGCTTTTGCAGAGCAAGGTATGGCCAAGAGAAACACCACAGCCTGAGCAATGAACTGCTGCTTTTTGGACCCTGCAATACAATGCTGTAATGTCTGGACCACAAATTCAAGCACAGCCCAAACAAAAACACCTTTCACAGTCCCGCTGGGTAATATCAGAGCCTTAACCAGTTCACAGGCTTTCCCCTGAGGTGTCAGGCACGGCACATGGAGGCTTTCTAGAATGTGATGCTTTGAACTGTATTGCTCAATACCACTGCTAAGGTCTGAATTTAAGCTAGAACTGGTTTCTGATGGTATCAAAGCACTGGAGAACTGCTTTACTACAGCAACATAAAAGCACAATCCTCCATTGCTGCCTTTCAAGCAGATTCCAGGTACATCTGGACTAAGATGTTAAAGGCAAACCTCTTTTATCCCTCAGGACCGCTGGAGAAGCATTACTCACGTTGAAGTATGTTCCTCTGCTCCAGTTCCTCTGCTGTCGGTCTCTGACTTAGTCGCCTAAAGAGAAGCATCACAAGCGTATCATCATTAGGGGATGAAGACCACAACTGCTTGGTTTTGGTGCACTGCAAAGCCTCTTCAGCCCCCTCATTCACCAATGGAGATCACTGTTTCCCACTCAAACCCACAGGCACAGGTTTTGGAAGTGCCTCTGGAAAGCTCAGAGGAGCAGGCAGCGCAGCCTGGACCATCAGCAGCCCCAGCTTAATCTACCACCTAACATCAGTACTCAGCTTGCACCTACCCACATCTTTCTACACCATCTTATTTTATGACAGCGATGCTTCTGTAGTCCTCAACATCTCCCCTCCCAGTCCATCTAACCTCTGGAAAGTCAGGGAATATTGCTCAGCTCCAGAAGGAACTTCCAACTTCCATAACTGAGGAGAAAGAGCCTCTCAGCCCTTATCCAGCAGCAGTGCCCAACCACCAGTCACATTCCAGCACAGGCTGCTTGGATAAAGCAACAGCTTTGTCCAATCCCACCCCACACACACCATGCCAACAGCTCAAACCAAACACCCTCCTCCATCCTTCATACCTGATCAGCGTCGTCCCAATCTGATGCCGAATTTCATTCCACTCTTCCTTGCTCTTTCGAGGGAAGACAATCTTCTCCTCCTGTGCTGTGGTTGTGTTCCCCAGCTTTATAGCCAGCGTGTCTTTCCTCTTCACTTTGTTAGCCAGCGTGCCTGTGGGGAGGAAGAGCAATGGGATGGGACTGAAGCCTGCAGTGCCTGAGCACAGCAATAGCAGCCATGTGCCCTTTCCCCTGAAGCTGGACTTTCTACACTCTGCACTCTGGCTCCAGAGCTGGTCACTGCCAGCATTCCTGCCCGATGCCCACATGCTCACCTGAAGGGATGGGATAGCACAAGCCATCTGCAGCTGGAAGGGGTGCCTCACAGCAGATGAGCTGGTGATACAGGTTTGGCTCTAAAGCCTTTGACAAAGTGAGGAAGGGGACGTGGTACATCATGAAACCCAAAGCAGCTGCTTTGAAGCACTGTGAGAACCAGCTCTTTGATACCCCATCTCAGTCCAGCAGACATGAGCTCAGCAGAGATAAAAAGGCAGATGCAATGTCAAAGCCTTACTGTTATGGCTTTCATCTTCTTCCTCATCCTCATCATCTTTGTACAGGATGGGCCCCTCCGAGTCAGAGTCGCTCATCCCTTCATCTCCTTCCTGCTCCTCTGGCAGAACCTGGGGTACCAGTTTGGGGATGACTGTGACAGATGGCACCTCTCCAATATATACACGAGAACCCAAATTCTGCTCCTCTTCCTGGTCATCTTCTTCCTCTTCCTCATCGTCTGGACTAACGAGAAGCACACTATTACATCTCAACACACACCCAGAGATGCCACCCAGGATCCTGCACCCTTCCCTCTCTCCAAAGTGCAGGGAGAGGAAATGCAGAGGCAGGTCCTTTGGAGAACCAGACAGCCCCCTCACCCCCGATCTTTGGGACTTGCAGGTTCAGATCTGTTGTAACACAAGACAATTCTTCTCCCACTTCTGTTTTGCAAAATAAAAGGCTAAGCAAGGCCACAAATGCATGGAATGCAGGCTCTTGTTTTGTCTCAGTGCAATTAAAGAGAGGCCAGGCCTGGATTCCTGGCATCAGCCTGCGTTTGTGCTCTGGAACCCATTTCCCTTTGGGAGCAACAAACTCCCAGAACAAGGGTTAATACCATGGGGAAGATGCATTGGCCCCCAAGAGCCTTGAAACATGGATTCCAACAGCCAAAATGGTTCCTAGGCTGTTGCAAGAAACCAGAGAAGAAACCAGCCCTGCCCACAGCCCTCCTCACCATCACAGCCCCACAGAGCAGGGATATGATGTGGGTCACCACCAGCGTGACCCCCATGCAGGGTGATGTTTCCTGCCCGTACTCACACTTTCAGCATCTCGATGGTGACAGGCAGGGACCTCGTCCTGCCCAGGGTGCCACTGTCTTCTCCAAAGCCATCGCTCTCAAAGAGCAGGGAGTGAGCCCTGTGTGAGCCGTCTGCAGGGGGGGTGACAGGCAGAGGGCTGGCCAGAGCCTGTTGGATCCGGATGTGCAGTGGGATTGGGGGCAAGCGAGGCAGCACGTGCGGGTCACCAAAGCCTTGCTCTGCCGTCCTCTTCACTGCTTCCAAGGACCTGAACTCTTCAGGAGGAGGAGGAGGAGGAGGAGTCTCTTTGGGCAGGTCCAGGGAGCGCGGAGGGTCCAGCACAGGGGTGGAGGCAGGCAAGGGCATGCGTGGAGGTTCAGGGGGGATGTGTGTGGGCAGTGGTGGTGAAGGGGATGGTGGTGGGTAGGCAGAGGTGACGTGCATCGGTGTCAGTGCAGGGCGGTTCGTTGTCACTGTCCTGTCACTCAGGGGCTTGGAGGCGATAGCTGCCTCTGGCATGGTGGTGGCAGGCAGAAGGCCTCTCTTCGGTGGGAGAGGAGGGGAAGGCTTTGACAAGCTTGTACCACTGTTCATTGCTTGGGAAAGCTCGGCTGCAAAGAAAAAACATAAGAGCCACCATATTTAACAGGGCATTTCCCAGACATCCTTCACCAGTGTGGAATAAGCACAGCAAAGAACTCAGAGCCCTGGACCATACTGCTTCTCTGCTAGAACACAGTGCCAGAAACAACCAGGTTGCAAGCCTCTAGTTTGTCCTTCCTGCAGCAAAGGTAAGACTTGGGAGAGGAGCCAGAAACAAGCCAGTTGGGAGGGGTCTGTGCATCCTGGTGCTTTTGAGAAGGAGAAAAAGCACCAGCCCTCAAGTGACAGCAGATGGAGCTCACCCAGACGAGCACTGCTCCTCAGCCAAGGAATGCAGGTATGTAGGGCACTTTATGGCTATATTTACAGCATCAGTTTGCAAAGGAATGCGAGACATCCAGGACACCCCAGCCTCCAGTCATGTTAACAGCTCCCTTGCACATGAAACACTTTTTACTCAAAGGCCAAAGTCAGCAGGACTGCCAGCAGCAACGTGCTCTTCCCGTTCCCATTCATCTGCCAGCCCCAGCCCAAGGACACCTTGCTGCCTGTTTCAGGGTGAGGTTTCTGCTCTACTCCCTCTGTACTCTGCTCCTTAAGCCCCAAAGAAATCTCTCTGCAATTGCAAACTTCCACATATACGCAATAGAGTTTATGTGGTGTGTGATGGAGGACAGAGGGAGAAATGGAGACTGAGGGGTATCATGGAAGCTGCCTGCAGCAGGCAATCTCAAACACCCCTAGGCTCCTAGGGAAGTGACTCCAGTGAAGACTGCTCTTGCTTTAGGCGTTTATAGCCTTCAACATCCCCCTGTCAGCAGCCTCTTGGGCTTGGAAAGGTTTTGCCCACCTGCTTAAAGAGGATTTCCTGCACATTTCACCTGTGATGGTCACAGAGTGGTGAGGCTCCAGCACAGCGCTGGGAGGAATCCGCAGTCTCAGACACCACAAGAGGGTGCTGCGAGCGAGCGGGGAGTGTGACCGAGATAAAGCTGCAGAGCTGCAGAGAGGTGGGTGCATTTTTGAGATGTTTGGCATTTTCAGACCTCCCCCTTGTAGATTAAGGGCAAGATTGTGCAAAACACCGAGTGCCCTCAGCTCTCATCCACTGGAGCCCAGAGGGATTCCAGTATCTCCTCAGCAGCACTTGAAGCCTGGCAGCACCAGGCTCGAGTCACCTTTGGGTAATCACAGGGACCAAGTAGCTGGTGGAAGGAAGAGACAGAAAAGGGCTCTCAGAGCATCCTCCCAGCAGCCTGTCTCCCTTTGGTGTGATAAACCCAGTGCACCAGCTGGTACCACGTCTTGTGACGTACCACCATGGCCAGATCCAGCACTAACAGTGGCTCCTGAAACCCTTCCATGGCACCAAGCACCAGGGCTGCCACCAAGTCCCCAGCCAGCACCACTCGCTCCGCTTGCTTTTCCAAGCTGATGCTGATTAAATTCCCACTTCCCCAAAGTGTTTCCTGAGCCTTATTTTCAGCTACTGCATCAGACACCAGAACTGCTCAGAGAATGAACATAAGGGAGCATCTTATCACTAGGGAACAAAGGGGTGATCTGCACATTGACAGTCCTCCCCTGCCTTAGGTTTTAATAGCAGCACTAAAGTACACACATGCCCAAGTGAGAGCATGCATCAAAGACCTGCAGAGAGCTCACAAAGCCAATTCCACTGCTGCTGGTTATCCACAGCAGCAAAACAAAGCTTGCACAGCAACGACTGCACGTGTGCTGTAGTTACAGCTCCATCCTGCCCCTCTCTGCAGCTGCATTCTCCTGCAGGAGACAAAAGAGGGGCTGGCTGCTCTCCTCCCCTGCAGCCAAAGGTGCATTGAGCCCAGCCCTGTATTGCTGGGGAGACACAGAGGCTGGCTCTGAGTTTGACAGACTGCTGTCTCCAGCCTCAGTCTCTGTTCCACAAGTACCTCTGCAATGAGCAGTGGGGCATTTCAAATGCCATCTGTGCTGTGTGCAGGCAGCTTAAAGAAAACAAGCAGGTATTTCATGGAGGACTCGGGCATGGTCAGACTGATCGAGCTGGTCTGGCATACAGGAGTGTTCAACTTGGGATCGAGGTCACTTGCAAAACCTGCTAGAGCAAGGAGAAGCTCCAAACAGAACAGACACGCAGCTCAGACTGAAAGGCTACTTCAGATAGGAACCTGCACACAATCTACTACTGCCTCCCAAACCACACCTGGGAACGCCTCCAGTTTCTGTGATAACAGTGCAGACCCAACTGACCTCTGTCCCGGTCCATACATTGACAATCCAATCCAAAGAGAAGGAGATGGTCTGGGAAACATGAACTGGATACAAGTTGTCTCATTTGCTTTCCATCTTTATACAAAGATACAGGCATTTCATTCTTTAAGGGGTAAGATTCAGCTCAAATCACAGTTGAGCTGATTTACCCGTAGGCCAGGACTTAAGGACAAGACTAACATGGCAATACCCTAACCACAGACCTTGGCAAAGGAGCCTGAGTATAAGCAGGGAAGTTGGAATTACCCCTGCCAGCTCCTGGCCTCCAAGTGGAAACCACATGGCCCAGCAGTGATAGCCGTAACAGCCATGGTTTGGCATGAAGTGGAGTTTTTGGTGGCCTTGTTGGGTGTATTTTGCAAAGAGCAGCTGAAAGCATCAATTCTCACTGACCACAGGCTCACAAAGCAAAAACCCCATCCACCAATCCACATCATCCTAAAAATCTTCCTTTACAAAGGGAAGAGACCCCCTCAAGCAAGTGCTGCAGAGAAGCTGTGGCTGCCCCAGCCCTGGCAGTGCTCAAGGCCAGGTTGGACACAGGGGCTTGGAGCAAGCTGCTCCAGTGGAAGGGGTCCCTGCCTGTGGAAGGGGTTGGAGCTGGAGGAGCTTTAAGGTCCCTTCCCACCCAAACCAGGCTGGGATTCAGTGATCCCAGGGCACAAGCACCAGGTTATGGATGCACTCACCTATTACTGAGTTGCTGTTTCTGTTGACAGGTTTGGGAGGGGGGACAGGCGGCTGTTTGGCAGGAGCTGTGCTGGTTGTGCTCGTGGGAGCAGTAGTGTTGGCACTGGCAAGAACAGGGGGCAGAGTCCTGGGGGCTGGGGACGGGGCAGCACTGGAATTGAGTGTCTTTGCTGCAGGAGGGGCTGTGGTGGAGGGGGCAGGCACTGGATCCTTCGCCTGTGCTTCATTTGCCTCTTGGGATGTGGAGGGAGGTCTTTTGGGAGGAAGCAGAGGCTGCCTGGGAACATAGGGCTCCTGAGGTGATTCCAGTTCAGGTCCAGAGTGGCTGCTGGAGGAGCCTGCAGAGTGAGACAGATTGGTTTAAGAGGCTGGGGAGCCCAGAGAGGGTGGGAAGAATCAAATGAGAGTTAAAAAGGGTGTCAGGAGAACGTGAAGCTACCGATTTCAACACACATCTGGTTTCTTACCCTGCCTTTTCTTTGGCTCCTCAGCTGGAACAGGCTTCCTAAGGTTGGATGGCTTTGTGGCCTCCTCCTCCTGGTTACAAAGCCCAGGACCACCAATTGGGACTGTGTGACCATTCTTCAGTGCGGGTGGGTTCAGCTTGTCTGATTCTTCCCCATCTGCAAGGGGATGGGAGGGGAGAGAAGCAAACAGAAAGCACTCAGAAAGCAGGAGATGGAGGAGAGAACAGCTGAGCTGACTGAACCACCATCAATCCAGGCCTTCAGTCTCCGTTCTGCAGAGGAGCAACAGCAACATGAGCCAGCTGAAGCTGAGAGCCATTGATTTCATTCCACAAGCCAAACAGTACAATATCACATCCCATCAAGTGTTCTTCTTCTTCAGCAGCCTCTTAATCTACCACCTTGCTACTGCATTTAAGACCAGGATGCCTTTTCCATCTCCCCACCGTTACAGAGCAGTTACAAATCCCCTGCTGCAATACAAATCCCAGCAAGTAATCTACTGGATGTGCAGGAACAGATTTTGAGGAAGCCTTAAAATTAGTCGAAGCATCTCTATTTCCCTTCCTCTCCGTTTTTCTTCTGGTGGTTTGCACTGAAAACCACTTTTTCCACCTCCACTTTCCCACTTTGCATCATTCTTAGAAAAATGCTGAAGTTTGTATTAGGTCAAAACTGCCTCTGCGGTGTGCCTTTTGAGGGGCAATTCCACACTGCTCTAAGCCAAAGGCCATGCTGCCACCCAGAGAAGTGGGCTGCCACCCCCCCACAGCTTTCTGCCTTCTGCCTCAGACCCACATCACCCAACAGGCAGCCAGGCCTGGCCAAAATGTTATTTTGGCAGAGTGGCCCCAACTCGGAGACATCAGAGATGACGGAAAAGGGGATTAGACTTCTTTGAGCAGGGCAAGCTTAGCTGTGACTGACAACAGACCAGAGAATAGCTTGGTGTTGGCTGGGTTGGAAGGGACCTTAAAGCTCACCCAGCTCCAACCCCTGCCACGGGCAGGGACCCCTTCCACTGGAGCAGCTTGCTCCAAGCCCCTGTGTGCAATCTGCCCTTGAACACTGCCAGGGATGGGGCAGCCACAGCTTCTCTGGGCACCCTGTGCCAGCGCCTCAGCACCCTCACAGGGAAGAGCTTCTGCCTAAGAGCTCAGCTCAGTCTCCCCTCTGGCAGGTTCAAGCCATTCCCCTTGGCCTGTCCCTGCATGTCCTTGTATACCACAGAGCATCTTGTCTGTAACTGCTTGAGGAAAGGCCCCTACCCAGGCAGCTCCGAAGTCACCAGCTGGTTTCTTCTTCCAAGCCTAAGGCCGGTAGACCTGAGCTTGGGGGTCAGCACCTCTCCCATAGCAGTTAAAGAGTGTGAGCAGAACAAGCTGGAGATGCTGAGGGCAAGTGTGACAGAGGAGCTTAGCAGGACAAGACAAGGCAGCTGGAGCAGGACATGTACAAGAGGGGCAGGAGGGGAAGTGACACACGGAACACCCTCCCTGCTGGCAGCAGACAGGATGTTATCCAGCACAGGCATCACATTTTCTTCCCCTAACTGACCAGGGGCTGCCTTCCTTGCCAGGTACAGAAGTCAGACAAGGACAAGACAGACAGGAACCACATTAGCAAAGAGCCCTAAAATACACCTCCCCAGAAGAGCGACTGCAACGGTGAGGCTTTGCCAAAGGAAGATCAGTGACACAGAACACAGACAGGAGGAGGAGGAGAAGTTCATTTGCAGACTCACCCTGCTCAGGGTCTTCCAACAGAACCCCTCTTTTTACCAGCTCCTCTCTTGGCTTTCGCATAGAGATCTTTCGTTCTAAAACTGACAGTAAATTGAAAACAGGGTAAGCTGGAAGGTCAGGGAGAGCCTTTTCTAAAGGGATCCTCTGGAGGAAAGAAAAGGGCTTCAAATTGCCCTTTCCTTTCTGCATGGATTAAGAGGAGGGAGGAGGGACTGCACGTCCAGGCCTGCACTTCACACTCAATCGTGATGCTGGAGCAAAGCCTCCCTCCCCACAGCTGCCTGGGGAGGTTCCTTGCAAGGAAGGCATTTATTTGTCTGAAACTACCGCTGCATGGCAAGGTGTTTCTGCAGAGACTGCAGGTGCCAGCCCAGCACTCAAGCCACACTGCGGCTCCTCCACATGCCAGGCACTCAGGCTTGTGACAGCAAGCCCTTCTCACCTGCCATACGGCTGATGGTGGCTTTCCCAAGCAGAGGAAGGGGCTCCCACCCAGCCCCAGTGACTCTACCTTCCGAGGTCTCCTTAAATTTGTCACTGCTTTTCTTTTTCCTCCACTTCCAGGGCTTAAAGATCTTGCCAAAGCTTGAGAACTTGCTTTTCCTCTTCGTAGGAGGTGTGGTGTCACCCGATTCCAAAACATCTACCCCCATGCCGGCATCAGTTGGGGTGTGATCCACCTCTTCAGCTGCACGGGAAAGAGGAAAGAGGTTACCTTTGTGCTGCAGATAGGAGCTGTTATCTCCCACCAGCACACTGGGAAACAGGGGCACACGCTCATGCAAAGAAGGGAGCAGGACTCCATGCCTTCACGTAACCCATCAGCATTACACATTAGCACGGGGTGACGGGAGTGGGGTTTCCAATGTTAAGAGTGCAAAGGGGAACTGCTAAGAGGCTTTCTAATGAAGCCAGGATTAGTTGAAGTTGGCAGTGCCGCAGCTTCGCCCCAGGAACACAAAGCACTTTGCTGCAGTTTCTCATCTTCAGCTGGAAGCAACTGGTGCTAGACACAAGTAATTACACGAACACAAACCCCTTCCAGGCTGCAGAGCCGACTCTCTGCACTGTCTCCACACGCTGCAACTGCCAGCCCCATTCCTACAGCTACAACTTCACCTCTGAGTTTTCCCCTCTATAAATAAGGCCAGCAAAGCTGGCCAAGAGCAACAACTACACAGGAAAGCAACACAATGCAGGCCTGCGCTCCACCCACTGCACTCCAGGTCTCCGGAGATCAACACAAGGAGGACATGGAGGTGGAAGGGACGTGCACCAAACCCAAGCAGCTTGATGCAACGAAGAGAGCTCAGACAGAGCGAGCTTGTTGAAGCAGAAGCAGAGCCCAAAGCACTGGGGGCCGTCAGTTCTGCCCTGATGGGACAGGAGCAAACACAACCAGCAGATTCTAGCAATGCCTGCAAAGACATTTACCATGTATTAACCTAAGCGAAGCCCTGCTTCATGGGCTTAAGTTTACAGAGCAAGCATCCTTTGGGGTCAGCACCACCGAAGCCAGGAGCACCCAAGCTGTGTAGCAGAACTCCATGGAAACAGAGTCTATAGAGAACAGAGCCTGGAGGCTTCCTCCAGCCCCATGCTGCAGTGCTGCCAAACACCCCGGCACAAACTGCACTTGTGCAGCTTCGGGTTTCGAGCCTCCAAGTCAAAGGTTGTGGAGTTCCAGGCCTCCTGGGATCACAGGAGACCTCTCAGTCAACTTCAGACAAGCCTGTATGACACGCCTTGCAGAACAGACAATACCCCACAGGCACCGTGGGAAGTTGAGCCAAGAATCCCATCTCCTGAGGCTAAAAGATTGGGAAAGGAATTTTAGGGGAAAGCCATTCTGCACATAGGACAGAGGTAATGAGGTATCTGTTATACAGCCTACAAACAGCCACCAAGGACACAAACCCAGATGGGGAAAAGACTCACAGATTCCTGTCAAGATGAGGAGGAGCAGGGAAAGCCAGGAAAGAATGAGTTGTTTGATGGAGCTCTACCTGCAGACCCCACTTTCTCAGTCTGAGCACAAATGAAATGGAACATCACTGAATAAGAGGGAAGAGAAGACCACAGCAGCAGCAAAAGGGAAACAAGGAGGAGGATCTAGATCACATGTGAGAAGCACAGCCTTTAGCCAAACGATGGAGGAAGAGGAAAGGCAGTGCAGAATTCCTTTACCAAGAGGCAAGGAAGTACCACTATGCCAGCCAGCAGGAAAAGAGGCTAATTGTTCAGCCTATACCTTAATAGGTCATTAATACTATACTTATTAAGGATATTAGCCTATACCCAATTTCAGCCTATGCCTTAACTGCACAACCCTTCCTTCCAGCTCAGGACGGGTTTCTCGCCTCTCACTTTCAGGACTCCAGGTTTGGTGATGGTTGATGGGGTTTTCTGCTGTGGATGCTTACAGGTACTTTCTGCAGAGCCTAGAACACGAGTCCTGGAGCTGTACACATCATTTCCAGAGCAGTATTCACCCTGCTCAATAAAGCATTTCCAAAGCTAACAGGGGAGGCGGGACCGCTCACCAAGCACTGAATGTGGGTCCCAAGGCACTTCCCTCATGGAGCCGTGACAGCGCTGGAAGCACTCAGAGCAAGCTCCGTTCCCTGCCTTGCTCTCAGGAATGCGCTTTCTGCCACCCAAGGTGTCAAAGGGCTGCACTAAGCAAAGTTAGTTATTAAAAGAAAACTCAAGCATCGGGTCCCGGGTTAATGAACGGAGCCATCAGCTCATAGGCTCGTGCTGTGCATCAGGGCTTGTCCAACATGAGAACACTCAGTTTTGCTGGTATACAGTCAGTTCTACGTCTAAAACCAGCCACACAAGAGACAAGCACACTCATACACCGCTCTGCAGCATAAACCCACGATCCAGGTCATCTTCACCACCCCTTCTGTTAGTAAAGGGTGTGAACAGCCACTGAGCAACAGTGAGAGAAGCTGTGGCTGCCCCATCCCTGGCAGTGCTCAAGGCCAGGTTGGACACAGGGGCTTGGAGCAAGCTGCTCCAATGGAAGGGGTCCCTGGCCGTGGCAGGGGTTGGAACTGGATGAGCTTTAAGGTCCCTTCCAACCCAGACCACTCCGGGACTCAATCATTCCATGAAAGCCATTTCCCTCCTCACTACAAAATGGGATTCATTCGGTCCAGCTCTGCAGCACAGGAGAGCCTGTAATGCCCTTCCACAGCCCTCTTTCTTCTACCACCTGGAATTACCACATGGACATAGACATTTAAAACAGTCTGTTCTGATGCAATGATGAATTACATTTAGTGCTCATCGGTGGGTGGAGCAGCAGCTGAAGGTGCTTCACTGATCTGGATGTTAAACCACCTCATTGTTCCATGATTGTTCACATCGGATAGTGCTCCTACTCCCTGGAAAAGGGACTCCCCTTCCATTCCCAGTACATTTCCAGCTCCTATTTCTATGCTACGGTGCAGAGAGGACATTTCTTGTCCAAGCTGAAAAGGGATGCTCACCCAGGTGGATCTCTGCGCCTCCTTGTTCTGCTCTACAAGGTACAGGATGGGCCTTAGGCTGCTTTGCATTGCAAGCAGAAACTCTTCCAAGCCATGCACTGGGAAATGAGGAAGGAACCACAGCACAGTGCTCGGGGAAAGAAACAGGACACGAAAAGAGGAACTGGGCTTCAAGGGAAGGGTGAGAAGCATCCAGAAGCTGATGCCCTCACCTGGTCCCTGCGCAGCACCAGGGCTGTTTACCTGCATGGCAAGTCTATGTCCACCTTCACTGTGGTGCCAGGCAGGAAAACCCATCTCAAACTTATGAAAAAGGTTAAATGAGGTCTTCTCAGAGAAGAGAAACCATTTCAGTGGAAGAAGGTCATTTTGTCCATGGTCACACCATGGTCCAAAAGCAGGAAAAGCCATCACACAAGCAATAGTTAAGCCCCCTTCTGTACAGCAGCATATTACCAGCCTAGAAAAAGGCAGAGCAGAGAATTCAGATACCAATATAAGAGGCAAAAAGCACTTCTTTCATCAAGGATCCTCTCTCATAGGGAAGATACCTGCAACAGACCATGAAACCAGCTGCATCTAGCGTAGGTCACTGCAGAATTAGCCCTGTACATTTCAGTCATTTCAGCCCGGGCCACACACCATCAAAAGCCAACATGGCTTTGGAGAAGCTTTATTATAAGTGGCACACCATTTCATAAGCTAAACAATGACTTCAAGAGCCAAGTGAGAGACCCTAACAAAGCATCAAAGAGTTGCATCCCAGATGCTGACAATTCATATTATATTGCTATATGCCTGGGAGGGAAACTACTGATTCCCAGTGTTTCTGGAGGAAATGGCACAATCCTTGCAGGATGAAGGGTCGGTGTGCCCCAGGCCAGGGCTGCAGACTGAAGCTGTTGGAAGACTGGGAACATGCTGCTTTTCTCCCTGAAATCTCTGCAGCTGGAGCAGACCTGAACTCCAGAAGAGGCATCTCCCCACAAACGGTGCTACAGAAGGCTCCAGCCTTTTTCAGAGATGTGAGACCTCTTGATTTCTACCTTCAGCAAGAGACATCCTCACAAAGGAAATGAGAAAGGAGCAGGATTTGGCTTTGTAACCAGACTTGCACAGAGCTTAAGCCACATTCTTTCTAGCTGCAAATCATAGTTCATGCAGAACTTGAACCATCCCTTACCGTAGTAGCTACTCCAGGATTCCCACAAATCCCAGGAGTTTCTGTCCATGAGGAGCTCACTGGGCAGTTGTCTCACACTCATCACCTCAAGGCTCATATCCAGACAACTGTGGTAATACTATGGGGTAAAGCAATGTAAATGCTTAGCTGAGGGCTAAAGGGCACTCAAATTGGGCACACCAGTGCCAAAGCAGCAACACTTCTGCTTAATCCTTTATTAGATATCCTTATATATCCTAAGTTACACACGCTCCCATGAAGTTCTGCTATCACACAAGCCCAGAAGGTGCAGTAGGAAGTTGAGAACGTGGCTGCTCATCACCCACAGAGCATCACCCCACCTGCAGAAGCACCTTCTGCAGTACAGCCTGGACCTAAGGCTACAGCAGGACCAACTGAGCCTGTGCTGGCTGACATGGGGCTGCAACAACCCTCCCATTGCCAAAACAGTGGTGATGCACAGGCTGATTCCACTCCCCCCTCCGGCTTTGTTGTACTGGGCAGAGCAGTTAAGAATCAAAAAACTCCAACTCACAAAGCAAAGACTTTTTAAGGGCTGTTAAGGTTAAAGCATCCAAAATAAAGCACTTGAGATAAATGTTTCTAAGCTTCTTATAACAGCTTTAACATGTGCATTTCCTGAGCGGTCCAGGAGAGATGCAAATTCTGACCTTAAAGCAGTGAAAGGCTGTGGTCACCAAACAGCCTCCAATAGCCCCAGCCCTCACCTTCCCTGTGTTTTGCAGGTTTCCAATCACCACAGAGCATCCTGCCAAAGTCAAGAATCATCTCCTCAAGTTCACAATTTACTCAGTAGAAACTCTACAAGCTGTGCCTTGAGGAAAGACTTCAGACAGCAAAGGAGCAGTTGAGAAACAGCAGCTCTGATGGTCTCCAGCAAATGACAATGTCCCCCCTCTGAAAGTCACCACCATCTCTGGTGCTCTCCATATACAAACATCGAGTGTTCCTCTAAAAATCAGACAATTCCACATTACAGATGAGAGTCAGCACCTCAGCCCAGACAGCACACTGCTGTGAGATAGGAGGGAACAACAAGTGAAGTCCCCTCTTCTAGTCAGTGCATCCCAGTCCCAGTGTTGGGAAGAGCATCTGAGACAGAGACCTGGAAATAACAGCCCTCCGCTGTGTTCTGGTGGCAGTGCTACTCCAAGGATGTAAAGCAAGGCTGTGTTTGCTACAGCCTGGCCGTTACTCAGGCACCTTGCAGAGCAGAGAGAGAAAACAAGCAGGAAGATGACTACAAGCCCCTTCTCTCCCCAGAGCTACTACTGCTGCCCAAAAAGCTGGGTGACATTACACACAAGGATGCAATTCCACGCAGCTTTGGTCTGGGAACACTACCAGGGCTTGGTTCCTACCCCACTCAGGGGACTTTTACTGCCGTCCAAGCACTCTGCAAAGCTGATGTCCTCTGCAAGACAGTCTACCCCTAAACCCAGCAGCTCGGAGCCTGCCTGAAGATCAGAACATGTTGCACAGCGAGTGCATGTGACATGAGTAAGAGAAAGGAAGGAAATGGGAGTTATTGCTCTCTTCGCAGCTCCCGAGCCGGGCGCAGGTTACACAAGCCCCACATTCCACTCCTCCCAACTCCTCCGTTTCACCTGCAATCCTGCCACAGCCCCGCAGCTCCCTCCACGTCTCCCTTGCCCTCCATTACTCACCAAAGGCAGCTGGATTGACCGGTCTCGAGAAGTGCGGCTGCCCCATGAGCTCCTTTCCTAAGCGGCTCCCCAGAAGGAGGAGGGAGGAAGAGAGGGGGAAAAAGTCTACCCTGAGAGAGCACTTGAGTCCTTTAACGGGATAAATCCACGCTTTGGGCTAGGAAGTAGCGAGGCTGCTGCCAACTCTCAGGCAACGGTGGCCGGTGGTTGAGCACTGGTCCTGTTCTCCCCATAGCCCATGGCCGGGCACTTGATTCTCATAAATAGGCATCCGTGCCAGCTCCCTCCTTGCAGGAATGCCTGTCATTCCAGAGCCGAGCTGGCTAGGGCTGAAGCTCAGGAAGGGGAGGAGACAACCAGCCACGCTCCAGCCACTTAGCTGCATAATCCAAATCATCAACACCCCTGGCTCCTGCCTCGCATCAAGTTTAGCAAGAAGAGAGAAAAGCTGGGAGTGGGGAGACAGGGAGACGGCTGGGATTTGCTCAAGGAAGGGCTTGGAGAAACCAGGCACGCCAATACATGGAGGGCTTTCACCTCCCAGCCGGGGTAAGGAGGGGAACTGTGTACCTGAGCCTGCAAACTACACAACGCAAGGAGGTCATGAATGAGAACGCGTGGTGCTCTAACTGTTGTAGAGCCTGAGTAAAGGGCATTACAAAGAGTGCCTGAGCTGATATGCATCTAGCCAGAGGTATAATGAAAATACAATTTCAAAGCCATTCCTCTCTTCCCTGGAGTTACCAGGAAGAAGGTAGGAGCAGGGATGTAAATATAAATCTCATCTGATTTACATTTTAACAGCAGAAGAGTTTATCTTGTATGTGTGTGTGTGTGTGTGTGTGTGTGTGTCAGCTCTCCCTGGTAAGGTAACAAATACCCCCTTACCATCTGCACCACAATAACAAAGACCTCCAGAGCTTCAGTATATCCACTTGGATTCTTTTCTATCAAGTTCTGTGTTAGGAATTCACTGACCCTACAGATCATTCCCAACCCCTGTAACACCACACACAGAGAAATGGGAAAACTTTAACATTCAGAAGCTTCATCTTAACGGGGGGGGGGGGGCTGAAGGAAAACCAGTTTTCAGCTGCAGCATCCCACCAGTGACTACTCAGGAACCTGAGCCCATCCAGCACATCCAGGTTTGCTCTCTCCCACTTAGGACAAAGCAGTTTTAAACACATCCAGGGATGGGGCAGCCACAGCTTCTCTGTTCAACCCATTCCAGTGTCCCAGCACCGTCACTGGGAAGAGCTTAATCCTAAAACCCTCATCTAAATCCATTCCAAACCACAGCCATAAAACCACGGGAGGAAGCAGTAAAGACCCAAGAGGAAGCAGGACATCTCTGCACCTTCTTCCCCTCACCAGCACCCGCTTTCCTCATCCCCATGGAAAGCAAGAGCCCAGTGGCAGGAGCAGGTGGAGCAACAAGAGATGAGCAGACACGAGGAGGTGGAGGGGCAAATAGCACTGCCCTCCCTCGCACAACACGTACGGACATTCCTGAGAGCGCTGCTCTTCTTGGCCTCCCACCACCAGCCATGGCTCTGCTCGGAAGAGGAGCCTGTTTCTGCCTGTGGTCAGCCACAGCAGTCAGTCTTCTAAGTACTCCTGACTTTCATTGTGGGCAATTAACACCCTGACACAGGCATGCTCCACCTCATTGAAGCCTCTTTTGCTCTGGAACAAAGGAAAAGCCATTTTAAAGCCACTGAAGTGTGCTGCCATCTGGCAAAGGCACACAAAGTTGGGAGATAGAGGCTGGGCAACTTCTCCAAGTCTGTAAATCAGCTGTCCAGCTTGGAAAGAGGTCCGGGAAAAGTATCCCTGCATCTGGGAATGCTGCAGAATGCTAAACACTGCATCTAGGCTTGCCTTACGGCCAAGGAGATTAAAGCCATTGCATTTGATACTACATTGGCTGTGAATGAAGAGTGTGCAAGCTCAAAGAAGAGGTGCCACGCGGTAGATTGTTAAAACACAACAGCACAGTCACATGCCTTGATTCCTTATTTCTACCCAAGTAGAACATGAAACATCAGCTTAAATTTACAGTCATCACAACGATGACTCTTTTCAAGGTGGACTCCTGGCCAGAATAAAACACAGAACCCCAGCCTGGGCTGGGCTGGAAGGACCTTAAAGCTCCTCCAGCTCCAAGCCCTGCCATGGGCAGGGACCCCTTCCACTGGAGCAGCTTGCTCCAAGCCCCTGTGTCCAACCTGGCCTTGAGCACTGCCAGGGATGGGGCAGCCACAGCTTCTTCATTAAACCCATACCAGTGTCCCACCACTCTCTTCTGCCTAAGAGCTCATCTCAGTCTCCCCTGTTCTGGCAGGTTAAAGCCATTCCCCTTGGCCTGTCCATATGGGTACCTAGGATAAGGGAAAATCCACATTTCAAGCCAGGACAAGGAACAAGTGTCCAGAATTCCCATAGGGCCATCTAACTTAGCTGCACAGCAACCAGAGCAGTGCCTTTACTTCTTAAGGACATGTTAAGCTCTTTATGAGGAGGAGCTTGAAACAGCAAAAGCTTTCCAAAGGAAAGCAATAGTCCCTTCAACATTTGCTTCTAAAAAGAAAGAAATCCCAGTTATCCATGAAAATCTTACAGGATTTCAGGAGTCAGATGGCTGAAAGGAAACAAGATGACTGGTTATGGGCAGTAAACGCCCAAGAGTGGGGTACATTGCTTTCAAGTTTCACTTCCTCTCCATCCAGCCCAGCATCCCATTAAAAGCTTGTCATTCCCATGTTAATAGTCTGTTTATATGCATTGTAAAAGGAACTCTTCTGGATTGTTTCACTTTAAAATCTAATGAAGCCCGTAATAAGCACAGATATTAGCTCCTCTAATGAAGACACTGTTGTTCACATTTCAGTGCACACCAACATGAAACACCACATTCATCTACCGTGACTCAGACATTTACGTCCCATGATTCAGCCACAGGAACATGAAAAAAGACTCCTGCATTTCCCCATCCATGCACTTGGAGCTGCCTATTTGAAACCAGCATTCAGGGCGTTTTCCTGCAGAGCCCATCAGCAGGAGTCACCAGGAGCACCAGGATGTTCCAGGCCCTTTCCTCACTGGGGATGTGCCCACCTGAAGCACCAGCATGGGTCCATCTCACCAGGAAGGTGTTTCACCACAATGCTGGCCAGCAATCCTCAGCAGCTTTGGCAGAGCATGTAGAATATGAAATAAAGAGATATTATAGACACATAACAGCTCTGGCTACCTACAGAAATGATCATTTCTGGGCTCTGCTCCCAAGCAGAGCATGTGGAAGAGTTATTAAGTACAACAGCAGACCAAGGGGAAGCAAGCAGGTCGGAAGGCAGGCAGTCAAAATGAAAGGTCACAAGGCAACCCAGCATGACGCTCTTCCTTTCTCTTCTCCTCACATGGTGTTCCAAGCCAGCCCAAAGCTAGGGTGGAAATGGAAGATGGTTTATTTAGAAGGCAGCTGGCATGGCATTGTTTAGGTTCTGGACACTGATGGAATAGCGCTGGGTGGGATGAGACAGAGGAGTGAGGTAACCACTCCTAAGCCACATGATTTCCTCTGTGCTTCCTGTGACATTTCCAACAGGGAAACTCCTATTTCCCAGAGCATTCCAGTCCCCTTGTTCTCACCAATGAGCACAGCAATAGCAGCTGCTCAGCCTCAGGAAGCAAAGGGGAGTGGATGTAGCACATCAGGGACTGTCTTGGTGCCACCATGTACATGCTGGGAGTGGAGAAGATGAGCAACCCATGTCCTGGAGCAGCCCAGATGTTGACTGGGATGGAGCACAGCTGAAGGAAGAGCACGGCTCTGGACTGCGCAGCAGCCTCTGCCACTGAGCTGAGAGCGTGCTCAGCCTCACATTTAAGAAGGATCTGCTCCATTGTCACAAGGACCAGGCTAAAGAGACTTGTGTAGGTGTTGGGGACAAGAGGAGCTTAAGGCCAAACTATTCAGCAGAGGAAGTGCAACTTTCAGTGAGAGCACAGCTTAGCCAGTACTGAAACCGCATCATCTTCAGTGCCTCTGTAATGACAACATGTGCCAAGTATTTGCTTGTTTACTGCTGAGGGAATGCTAAGGAATGGAATCCTGACAAAATTAAAGATTTCAGTCCCAACTTGGCTCCCTTGATCACGGTGGTGATTCATGGCTGTGCCATCTTGAGGCCAGGGAATCTCCAAAGCTCACAAACTACTTGCTGAAGCACCTTGAAGCAGCATGAAAAGCAACACTGGTCAGAAGCCAAAGGAAGCTCAGATACAGGACACGTTCCAGCAAAGCATCAGCATATTCCCAACAGTGAAGCACTCGGAGGCAGGATCCCCATCTGCCACTTCCAGCTCTATTATTTAGGAGCACATTAAGCAAAAACACAGAGAAGAAAATTACATTCATGATTCCATTGTTCAGGGAAGAAACAGGCCCGGTATTGAGTTTAATTCTTGTTTAATCCTCTCCCATAGCAAAGACTAAGGTACTCAGAGAAGAACCCATAAAACTGACATCTCCTCAGCTTCCCATAGCAAAACACTGGAGATAAAGGGCAAAACAGAGCTTCAGCACAAATCAAAGGTATATCCCTCTCCTCTATCACTACCCAGCACATGCTTTAGGACTGGCATTGCACAAGGATATGGTGCTGTTCCTAAGCAAACGGTTGTGTCCTTTGGCAGAGGTAAGTCCATCTATGTCACCTATCAAACTGATGGGACAAACTCTGTTAAGCACTACACTGGAGATTGTAAATTAACAGCAAGAATAAGTAAATATTAAACCTCTAAAATAAGATTAACAGGAAATTAACCCTCAGAAGTACCACTATATTTAAGTCTAGGAGCTAGTCTGCAATTTGTAGGCCAAGGTCTACAGGCTAACAACCCTGCACTGATTCATTCAGAGATTCAGCATCCCCAGTTTCTCTTCCTACCGCTAATCCTCCAAGATGCCGAAGCAGGAAGCTGGAAGCCTCTCTGCCCGCATGCAGGCTGCAAAGAAAGGCAAAGATTTCACTGTCAAAGTCTTGTTTCCTCTTTTTAATACATCACAAACATCCCAGTGAGTGCACTTGGCTCTTCCTATCTGAAGACAGAACCACAGCAAAGCAGATCAGTGTTCCCTCTGCCCCTCGTTGCAGGCAAAGAATCCCCATTATCCTTCACCACCTTGAGCTCTTCAGGCTGAAGTTGCATTTCTTCCCCATCTTGGTGCACAAAGGCAGGCAGGGCCAGGGCATCCCACCAGCCTGCCCTCGCTTGGCTCTGCCCAGGGAGCCGTACAAAAGCGCCTTGGGTTAGCATCTGGGGAACACCCAGCCTCCCAGTGCATCTGCTCCACTTCCATTCTGGACCAGGCGAGAAGCTCCTTGTTAACATCAAGGCACAACCTCAGCTTCTGCTCATCCTGAGCTGACAGATTTGGAGGAGAAGCCCAAATTCCCTGCCACAGATCAGAAATGGAACGCAACAGCAGACAGGTTTGGCTGAAGGCACTGAAACGCAGCCAGAAAACCCTTTTTTGCACCCGT